CCTTTCACGCAGTGTTTCCAAGGAGAGCAGGGACTGCCATATAAGTTAGCAATGTTTTTGAGAGTAAAATGGACAGAGCAATTACCAAGCATTTCCATCAACAACAGATTTAATTTAGATATCCAAGCACCAATTAGCAAATACATTCCATATGATGTGGGATTTGTTTCATCATACTTGTTTACTAGCAATAATTCAACTTTGCTTAGTGGAGATATTTAACTTTTCTTGAAAACAAACAACCGTTGTATCAATTCGGATTTATGTTTGAATAATTATTTTTAAATTATACTGTCAAGTGCGTATATACTGCTTATTCTACACATACACAGGATCACTTATGGAAAACAAGATCACTTATTTAAACCTACCTACATATTTAGTATACTAGCTCTCCAAGCGGTACTGATTCTTAGTATTGAAACTACGTTTGTAATTTACAATTGCAAAATTTGGAGTGAGCTGTCCTCGGAGACGAATGTAAATGTTTTGTTATTAACCCGTGAGCGTTGTGGAATGTCTTGCCGGTAATCTTAATGTAATAGATACCAGAAACGGTTTCTGAATAAATTAATATAAGATTATCTAAAGTCGTTGTCTTTGTCACTGTGCATATATCCGGTAACACTAGACCAGTGTATAACATCTCTTTGCTCCCATGTACGGCAGTAACCCTATACAGAGATTAAACTGGTTACACAATTACAGTAAGTGAATCAAGTAATTTATTTAGATATTTAATAGCCAGTACTAAAAGCAGGTTTCAAACTCTCCCAGTGCCGTAAATGTGAAATAGAAATGACAGTTTAACATAAATAACAAAATTATACCACACAATACGTTTAACTACGCCATAAAATGGTATTAACGTGTCTAGTAACATGAGTATAATTCATCATCGTTATCCATACACACAAGACAATAGAAGCATTGTGATTCCGACTTCGAGAACTAAATAAAATTATCCTTGTATACACACGTTTAATACAAAATGAAACACATTGTCGAGCAAAACCAGTGTGTTTATTCTGAAGGTAATTATGGTTATCAGTACTTTGTTCAATATCGTTTAATATTGCATATAAAATTACAACAAGTAGGAAAAACATAGAGCACTATATTATTTTGATTTGATATTAATTATGGCTTTAGATACTGAATAATTATTTTTGTTATTTTTGGCTTTTCAATTATTAATGATTTTGGGTTTTAATAACGATGTGATCAATATGCATGACGGAAATGGACATCTAATCAATAGGATAACTTTGTCACGTAAAGAGGGATTACAATGGGTGTTAAAACTGAGATATTTAAAGCTCAGATATTTACCACACTACTATGAATAAAACGATGATTCTGACATTGGTGGTCGTGTCCCATGCTTTGTTCAGTCAAGTGGGAATATGAAATAATGAATTAAAAGAACTGAATCCTGCAAATGTATATTATTATGAATGGTGACCCCGCTTAGCAACTTCACAAATATTTCCTAGTTAATGAAATCGCACCTCAGATTTCCTAGTTGCAAGCACAATATTACTCTTTTATAGAGGTTACGTAAATGATAATGTAAATTATATAATATTATAAGAAGAAATTATATATAGTTTCATGATTCAGGAAAAAATACCAATAATAATTGTATATAAGATTTTGCCCAAAATCAGAAAAAAACAAACACAAAAGAAGCAAATTTAGTTCCACTATGATATAATAGATTT